ACCCGGACTTGGCTCTAGGAGATTCTTGAGTGCAAATTGAAGCCCCGGAAGTAAGCTTTCCGACGGTGGTGGCCTCATAGCTAAAATCCAAGTGTACAGACAGATAAGTCCGATTCAGCGAGGGCTGCTCAACTCGCTTCTACCCAGATCCATGCTGAACTTCTCGCAAACTAGTTTTCTCCTCTCCTTTCCTCTTTTCTTCAACTCCAAACCCCTAAACAAAGTGTTTTGAAGGATTTGCCTCTCTCCTTACCGAAGAAACTGATTCTTTGCCCTGCACATCTCTCAACACCGAGCAAACCATCAGTAGTGCCCAAGTCTTAAGGGCGGTCAAAAATGGGGTGTCTACACCCACTACCCTGAATAGATGACCTGTTTGATCAACTTCAAGGAGAACAAGTGTTCTCTAAGATAGACCTTAGATCCAGATATCACTAACTAAAGGTGAAAGCAAAAGACATTGAGAAAATTGCTTTCCGAACTTGATACAGACATTTTGAATTCTTAGTCATGCCATTTGGGGTAACTAATGCACCTGCAGCATTCATGGACTTAATGAATAGAGTATTCAAACAATTCCTTGATGAGTTTATTGTTGTGTTCATCGATGATATATTGATTTATTCTAAAAGCAGGGAAGAACATGCAAATCACTTGAGAATTGCTCTACAGATTCTAAGAGAAAAGAAGTTATATTCAAAATTTTCCACATACGAATTTGGCTTGACAATGTGGCATTTTTGGGGCGTGTAATCAACAAGGATGGTATCTCTGTTGACCCGTAGAAAATCGAAACTATTGTGAACTGGCCTAGACTGACGAATGTAACAGAAGTTCGAAATTTTCTAGGACTTGCAGGCTATTATCACAGATTTGTAAAATATTTTTCCAAACTTGCTTTGCCACTCACTCAATTTACACAGAAAGCTACACCATTCGATGGACTGATCAAAGAAAGACTATATTCTAAGAGCTAAAAACCAGGTTAGTAACTGCACCAATTTTGACCCTATCTAATGGTACTGATGGGTTTCAAATTAACAGCGATGCTTTCCACAAAGGTTTAGGGTGTGTGTTGATGCAAAATGGAAAAGTAATTGCTTATACTTCTCGACAACTCCGCCGTCATGAAAAGAACTATCCAACCATGATCTTGAATTAGTCGCTGTGATATTTGCTTTAAAAATTTGGCGCCATTATCTATATGGAGTTACTTGTGAAGTATACACAGATCATAAAAGCTTAAAGTATTTCTTCACCCAAAAAGAGCTGAACATGAGACAGAGGAGATGGTTGGAATTAATCAAGGACTACGATTTGCAAATTTTGTATCATCTAGGAAAGGCAAACACTATTGCAGATGCATTGAGCCGAAAATCTATTGGGGATTTGTCGTGTTTGCTCACCGGTCAGAGAGAGTTATTGTGTGACTTAGAGAAGAATGAAATTGAAATTGTGTTGCGTGAATAATGTGGGATCTTGGCTGCCATTTTTGCCCAACCTACAATCATTGAAGAAATTAAAGAGAAACAACGTGAAGATGAGTTTCTGAGGAAAATTGTTGATGAGATTGACTCAAAATTGAGACCGGGATTTGTGCTTTATAATGATGTGTTGAAATTTTAGAATCGCCTTTATGTGCCAGATTGTATTGATTTGAGGAAGCGCATTATGACTGAAGCTCACAATTCAAATTTGCTATGCATCCAAGAAACACAAAGATGTATCATGAGTTGAAACAAAATTTTTGGTGGCCGGGAATGAAAAAGTGTATTGCAGATTTTGTAGCTCGATGTTTGCACTACCGACAAGTTAAAGCTGAACATCAATGACCTGTCGGATTGCTACAACCGCTGCCAACACCGAAATGGAAATGGGAATATGTCACAATGGATTTCATTGTGGGATTACCTCGCTCTCCCCAAGGTATGGACTCTATCTGGGTAATTATTGATCGTTTGACTAAATTCGCACATTTCTTACCTGTCAAATCTTTGTATAATGCAGATAAGTTGGCTAACTTGTATGTTAATGAGATTGTGAGATTATATGGCGTACCAGTATCTATTGTATCTGACAGAGATCCTAAGTTCACTTCAAGATTTTGGCAAAGTCTATAGCAAGCTCTAGGGACTGAATTAAGACTAAGCAGTGCTTATCACCCACAGGCAGATGGCCAATCTGAACAGACCATTCAGACGTTGGAAGGCTTGTTACGGATGTGTGCCCTAGACTTTCAAGGCAGTTGGGAATCCTATTTACCATTGGCTGAATTTGTGTATAACAATAGCTACCATTCGAGTATCGGCATGGCTCCTTATTAAGCTTTGTAGGGTAGAAAGTGTCGATCTTCAGTTTGCTAGGCTGAGGTAGGTGATAAACCGTTATTAGGGCCGAAACTTGTGCAAGAAACAACCGAAAAGGTGAAATTGATTCATCAACGCGTGAAAACTACACAGAGCCGTCAAAAGAGTTATGTCGACATCCGAAGGCGTGACAGAGAATATGAAGTCGGAGATCATGTGTTTATCAAAGTGACTCCAATGAATGGTCAGACATGGTTTGGAGTGAAGGGTAAGTTAGCACCGAGATATGTTGGGCCTTATGGAATCCTTGAGAAAATTTACCCGGTGACGTATCGGGTGGCCTTACCTCCAGTGATGGAAAATATGCACAACGTTTTTCATGTTTCGATGCTTCGGGATTATTTGAGAGATCCGTTACATGTCATTGAACCAATCCATGTGCTTCTGAAAGACGATTATACGTATAAAGAAAGGCCAATTCAAGTGGTTAACCGAAAAACCAAAAGATTGAGGAACAAGTAAATTCCATTGGTGAAGGTTGATTAGCAAAACCATGGAGGGACTTATGCAACTTAGGAAATGGAAGAAGACATAATGAAGAGATACCCTAACTTATTTCCTTTAGATCCAGTGTTCTTCCAAAATAGAGGTAATTAGAGTTTGAAGGACCAAACTCTTTGAGGGAGAAAGACTGTAACTACCCCAACCTGTGATTAGCCTTTAATCCATGATTAAATATGCCTAAGAAGGATTAAGATGAAATTCTAAATTTATTTGCATTAAAATGAAATTCTAAATTTATTTGCATGTGTGTACGACATTATTTGTGTTTCTATCTGTCCATCGTAGCGAGCTACTCCCGACGTGAGTCCGCCCTCCCCTGGTACGGGGAAATATCCTGCCCTCCTCATCTCTCCCCCGAGCAGGGACAGAAGGTCTAGCTGGAGCACCTCCTGCCATGGGAATCTGGAAAGGAGGCTGAAAAAGTACACAAAAAGGGAAATGCATCAGTACACTGTGAACAGTTTAAAGGTGCAGAATGCAGCGTATGAATACAGTAAGAGCGCCGTGAGCAGTTTATCAGTGCAGAATGCAGAATGTGAGTACAGTGTATGAACGCCGTGAGCAGTTTATCAGTGCAGAGTACGGTGCAGAATGCAGTGTATGCAGTGTTCAGACGCTGTGAGATCAGTGTATCACGTGTTGTGCCGTGCATCAGATTATGCAAAGCAGTGTATGAATGGTTTGAGGCCAGTGTCAGAAGGACATACCGGTATGCTGTAGAGGGCTAGAAGGTCAAATGTCCACTGAAGCATCCCCATCATCGACGCATTCATCGCCAACGACTGACGGGTATACTCAGAAGAAGCCTGCAAAAGTGTCAGATGCATCAGTATTCTGTGGAATATCAAGTAAACTGAATTGAATAAGCTGTGCGAAGTGCAGTGATACATACCGGAGGTAGATCGGGGACATCGATGAACTCGTGCCCAGCCGGTGGAGGGGCGAAGGGAATCTGATAGGTCGACCCACCCTGCCCCTGGAAAGTCAGTACAGCGCCAGCCAACTCCCCGTCCTCCCTACACTCCGCCCCTGCCACGGACCCGGGCCCTCCTCGAAGATCCAGCCCCCGCTCCCGCTCCGGCCCCAGCCGCCGATGCCACATGCCTGGCCCCCTCTGCTCGACGGCCGCTCAAGGGGCGCATCAGGTACGTCCACACATACTCCTGGTAGTCCTCCTGATAGTCGCCGGTGCCTTGGAAGCCGGCCTCCTCCCAGCCGATGGAGTAATCATCCAGTTGCTCAGGGGTCAGCCCCTCGGTCTCCCTCATCTCTGTAGGAGGGTGAGCCGGGACTATCTGCTCAGGTAACCCGCGGGTCTGCCGTAGAAAACGCTCCCCCAGGTACCAAGCCCGACAGACCGGGCCCTTAAGCAAAATCCGGAAACGCGAGGTCTCCTCAGCACCAGGGAACCGACCCCGCATCGCCGCCGGCATAGGAGCCCACGACCGCCAAGTGCTCTGAAAATGAAAGACAGTTTGTTATTTACGGTTACTGAAATATACAGTTGGAAAGCGAAGCTTAAATGAACTGTAAGTAAAGCATACCTCCGCGGGGGTGATGGTGTCGAAAAGTTATGTTTAACTTTGTAAAGCCAAATGTCTCCTGTGGTTGCCGGGTGCATCTCCCATCGAAGCGACTCGAGAACGGGACAGCCGGAGGAGGCTCCGCAACTGGCACAGATGCAAGCCTAGGGAAGTAGGCGTAAACCCACAGCTGCAAAACAGATGTCAGTATGACATCAGATAAAGCAGAATATACAGAATAAAGCGGAAATAGCAGAGCCGTGTGTTGTGCAGTGTATTGTGTGCAGTGTATTATGTGCAGTGTACAGTGTGAGCAGTGTACAGTCAGTGTAAAGCAGAATGTATGTGTGTGCCGTGTGTACAGTATACAGCAAGTGTAAAGCAGACTACAGTGTGTGCAGTGTACTGAGTACAGAAAGTACGAGACAGGAATGAAAAAGCGTAGAAGAAATGTACCTCCCAAGCCCGCCAGTAACCTCCAAGCAGCTGGCCGCTGCCGCGAGAAGCCGAGCTCATATATCCGTACAGGGTGGGAGCAGCACCGCCCCAGTCGTAGTGCAGGATGTCCCGGACGTCCACCAGTGCGCTGAGAAGGCAGAGAGGCACGGTGTTCGCCCGGTCGGCGAAGATGGTAGTCCCGAATAGGAACATGAGGAACCCGCGAGCGTACCTCTCCTCGTCCTCTGGGGTCATCTGCACCTCCTCCAATACGGGCTGGACCCGGAACTGTGCCTCGAACCAGGAGTACCGGACGAAGCCTGGACGAGCTAGGGGCGGGGCCTCCCCCAGTAGATGGACCTGAGCGGCGGTCCACTCATCCATGTCTGTGTCGAAAGGGATCGGATCCCCCCTACCCCGATGCCTATGACCATCGAGAAGTCATAAGGGGTCATCGTCATGTCCCCTGCAGCAGAAAAATGGAAAGAGTCGGTGGTGTCCCACCACCACTCCGCCAAAGCAGCAAGGAGAGGTCAGCATGTGGAGAGCCTAGAGAGCCCTCGGCAGAAGGTGCCGAAGCCCGCCCGGTCCACGATGCGCTGGACCGCATCAGGGAGCTCATCATACCACTCCCGTGCACCAGTATTCCCATACCCGCGAATGGTATGGGAACCCTCCTGCAAACAGAAAATGACAATTGCAAGACAACATTCAAAATGCAGTTTTGAAAGGACAGATATGGCATGTATGCAAGTTTGTCAATTTCAGGCAAATACCGGGTGCCGGTGTGCTTACAGTAAAATACGTGTGCTGTGTCAACGTGTTTGAGTGGTTCAG